TACCACCACCACCACCACCACCACCACCACCCCAATGGGGGTCAGAAGGGCGAGGATGACTGGGCAGCCGTGCTCAGCACCTGTATACACAACGAGAGCGCAAACACATCTAACGGCAGTGAACCAGAAGTCAACGAGCTGTCAGCGCATACCTGGCTGCGAGGGCCATTATTTGCTGATACTGGCATATCACACGCTTTCAGACCTTTTAACCTAGAAAGGCGACACCTGGCCCTGCATTTGTCCGGGCCTTCACCCTTCAAGGTTTTGTAATCAAACAGTCGTCGACTGAGAGCCACTACCCGTAAAGCACACAAACACACACACACACACACATAATCTCCTCACATGCATGAGAGTGTCACAGATCGCTTGAGAAGGGGCCGTGACAGTCTGACTCTCAGCACACCAGTCCGCCACTTCACACACAACACCCACACAACTGGGTAGACTGCGTTGACTGAGCTGGGGCGTCAGTCGGCTGCCTTCCAAGCCACGGCGCTCGACGCACCGTCTTCGTCTCAGATTCCGATCAAACATGCAGCGGGGGAGCCGCGTGGAAATGGAGCCGAGATGCACATTTCCCACTTGCGTGAGAGGTGGCAGTTGGGTGCTTGCGGTGGGTGGTGTTGGTGCGCGGTAAGATGTTGGTAAGGGAGAATATTGTGGTTTGGTGTGGCCGGCGGTTGTCTACCACAGGCTTTGGTGGACGTGCATGTAGACTAATAGATGAATAAATGTACGAGAGCAATGTGGACCGTGGAGGCGGATGCGGCGGGTGTAGGTTGGTGCTTCAGGCACTAGTTCGCCAGTCTCTGCGCGATGGATCCGCAAATGACCGACCAGGCCGATGTGTGAGGTGGAGGTACTACCGCAACGAGGACAGGTATAGACCCGGTTCTCACCATTGATGTTGACGTTTGTTGTTGGTGTTTGTTGGTGTGTCATGATTGTGTGTAGTGTTGATGGGCATGACAGACGTCGCAGCGGCAGACGTTGAGACGGTGGTGGTGGAGGAGGAGGAGGATGGTAGCGGTGGTTCGGAGGATGGTCAACGTTAGTTGACGGAGTGGGAGGCGATGGAGATGTGGACGGAAGGTCGACGGTTGGTGCAGTCCGGGTGCTTCAGTCCGGGTGCTGCAGTTGGTCCGGAGGTGTCAAACAAGTGCACTTGGCGCCTGGAATGTCCGTTGACGTCGCGGACACGTTGGAGGCGGTTGGGTGTTGGCGTTGTGAAGCGGCGGCAGCAGCTGAAATTTGCCTGTCTCGAATTTGACTTTGACGGCGGCGATACAGTTAGCTTCGAAGATTTCTGCGCCTATCTTTACAGTCCTTCTCCAGCTCGGTCGGTCTTGAGCGAGGTCTTCTCAGTTTGCCGGGTTGATCTGCAGGCGTTTCAGGGAGGTCCTTAGAGTATCCTTGTAGCGCCGGACTTGACCCCACTGTTGGAGTGAACACGTCGCGACATCTCCATAGAAGAGTCGTTTGGGTAGCCGTTAGTCGTCCATCCGTACAAGGTGGCCGATCCAGCGTTGTTGTTGTTTGTGTTGTTATCTTGGCATAGCACAGATGCTAATGATTCCCGTCCGCTCCAGTATGTCCGTGTCTGGGATCCGGTTCTGCCACCTCAGCTTCAGCATTCACTGAAGACAACTGAGATGGAAGTGATTTAGTCTACGTGCCTGCTTCATGTTCACCGTCCAAGTCTCTAATCCGTACTGCAGCGTCGGGAGGATGACGGTCTTGTACATCTTCAGTTTCGTGCTGAGCTGGAAACCGTGACGATTCCAAACTGTGCTTTGAAGACGGCCGAAGGCCTGACTGGCTTTCGAAATCTTGCGGGCCACCTCATCGTCGATCTTGGTGCTGCCAAGATACGTGAAGTTATCCACCACTTGTGGTTGGATTCCGTTCACGTTTATTTGCGGCGCGTTGGGAGAAATGGCTGAGTTGGGCGGCGGTTGGTGCATCACCACCGTCTTCTGCGTGTTGATGACCAGGCCGAAGTTCTCACAGGCGGCGGAGAAGAGGTCCATGCTCCGTTGCATGTCCCATTCCAAGGTGGTGTTCAGGGCGCAGTCGTCGGCGAAGAGAAGTTCGTGAACGGTGGTTGTGGAGACGCGCGATTGGAAGTGCATCCGCCGTTGATTCAGAAGGTGACCGTCCGTCCTGTAGGCGATGCGGATCCCGGGGCGTTCATCAGCAGGATAGAGAACATAAGACAGAAGAGGGTGGGCGCCAGGACGCATCCCTGCTTCAATCTGTTGATCACTGAGAATGCCTCTGAGACAGCTCCATTGTCCGTGACTCGCGCCATCATATCGTCGTGCAGCTGACGCACCATCTGAGTGAATCGGTCGGGACAGCCGAATTCCTGCACGATTATCTACAGTACTTCACGATTCAGATCCACGAAGGTAGAGTGGAGGTGGGTCCGCATCTCCTGACACTTCTCCTGCGGTTGGCAGTCAGCGAAGATCATATCCGTGGTCCCACGATGGCGGCGAATGCCGCACTGACTTCCCGGCAGAAGACCTTGTTCTAGGTGGTTGTTCAGACGATTAAGAAAAGTGCGAGCGACGATCTTTCGAGCGATGTTCAGCAGGGAGATACCTCGGTGGCTGTCACAGATCTGACGATTTACTTTCCGCTTGTAGAGGTTCACGATTGCAGGACTCGAATGTGCAATTAAAAGGCGGGCATCTGCAAGTTGGAGTCCGGTCATATCCTTGTTACAAGACAACTGTTTCATTGTTATTCAGTGTTCGTAGTGATGAAGACGAGGACCTATTGCAGTTGACGAACTGAAATGGATTCTTGAGGCAAACCGTGAACCGTCATCCACGTGACTTATTTAGTGTGCCTATACTTATGCCAGTGGAATGGCACGATGAACTTCAGATGATTTTAGGTCGTCAAGAGAGTGGAATTCGTGATCTTGAGCTTGGGCCTAAAATGTTTCATAACGAGGTAAACGGCAGAGTATTGGCTAGCAAGCTTGTTTTAGTGAGTCCCTGCAGACCAAAGTTTCTTAGACAGAGAGGAAGCGAAAGGTTTGGCAAAGGCAACATGTTGTTGTCAACGAATCGCACCAGCTGCAGCATTTAAGTTATCTTCCACCGAAAGAAGACATGTATCTGAGAGAGCGTGTCTTACCAGTGTTGCATAGGCCAGCCCGGCCTTTCCTCACTCAAGGGTAATCAAAACGTCACTTGACAGGCTGGGGGGGGGGGGTCCAAAAACAAGTAGTTTAGCAGCGTCACAGGGTATGCGCAAGTCAGGAGGAAGTATTGGTGGATTTGGATCATACAGGTTGACCACTGTAATAGACGGTTGGAGGTCTTTGGCAGAAAGTTTCGAATAATGGGACCAATGAATGGGACGGATGTCACTACCTGCGGACTTAATTATCAAGCAACACCGACGTAGGTGAGCGAAAGAGGTACAGAGAGGAGATGTGAGATATTAAAGATACCCTTGAGTATTGTGTTTGCCCCTCAAAAGTCGCTGATGAAAGCGTGGAAAATAAGGGACCCTTGATTGATGAAATGTTAAAAGTCCCGTGTCATATCAATGATACTCATCGGATAAAACGGTGTAGGCTCTATCTTCTTAAGGGTATTGCCAGATGCAGCCGGCACAAAATCTAAAAAATACTCTTGACTAGGGGAGCTCTAGGGAACTAGTAAGGCCGAACGAAGGGTCAAGGACCAGAAAGGGTGATTTTAGTTAGCTCACAGTAAGCGTCCCACTGTCTCCAGCAGTCCCATCTCTGTCGAACGTGTGAACCCCACTCAACTGCAATTACAAATGAGAATTTAACCTCAAAAAAGATCAAGCGGGCAGACGGCGGGCATCTGGAGGAGATTGTAGACCATATTATATTGACCAAGTTGGTTCTACAGCCTTAGAGCTACGATGACCAGTCTCATGAAATGTTAACCGAAATTGACAAATGCGTTTTCGATTGAGAAGAATTACTTAAATGAGGTTGTCATGTTGAAAAGGATAATTCAGTCACGGCAAGACGCCAACTTTCGAATGTATTCCTCCGCGACAGCCAGCAAAAATCACACTCGGTAAAAAATGGCCACTTAGGTAGTATGCACCTTTTTCTTTATTTCAGGTATCTTTGTGAATTAAAATATATTTTTCAAAATACACTTGTTAAAATGTGTTTTCCTTTATTCGTTTAGTAGAAATGACGTCTTCTTCGAATTCGATACTTGAAGAATGGGTATATTTAGGTTTTTAAGCAGTTTCCCAATAACCAAATAATTTTGGAGTCAGATCCGCCGTGGATATTTGCGTCCAGGGTTTACAGTCTAAAAGCTGTATACTAGCCAGTTAGGGAAAATCACACATACTTTTAGGCCATTAGGAAGATAACATAGATGACTCCTGAAATTTAGCAGTGTGAATTACGTCGTATACTTCATAAGCAGCATCAATAAACGAAAAGACATAATGATATCTAAATGGAAATTTCACGGTCTCAAAAGTCTCCTAATTTAAAACCTTTTAAAACCGAATGACTCCTGTCCAGTGGTAGGGGGTGCTCACCGATCGTTCTTACGGAACTCACTCGTTCCGTTGTACCTTACGGGCTTTCTCTCGAACCCAACCAGCAGCCGCACAACGGCGCATGATAAAGGCAGGGTGGTATTACCGACTGCTGATTGGGTTCGAGAGAGAGCCCGTAAGGCACAACGGAACGAGTGAGTTCCGTAAGAACGATCGGTGAGTACCCCCTACCATTGTATATTCCGATCGAAACTGACAGATCAACGGACTCGCAGCCCAGTGCTTATAGGCGTGGACTTCTAATAGATCGCGAGTTCGAGCCTCGGGTGTTCCACACTTTAGGGTTGGGTATGACTGGCTGACGACGGCTAATAAGCCAGAAATGGCCATTCCAGTCTCCCTTGTCTTTGTCGGTAATATCAGACCCTGTCCTTCAAATGAAAAACTGTGAAGAAAACGTGGATAACGACCAAACCGTCAAAAGAAAGCACATTTTAAAGCATGTCTTCTGCAGATATATCAGACTTTATAAGGGTATCCAAAATAAATAGAAAAAAACGCATACCTCTAAAGTTGCCATTTTTTGTCGAGTGCGACTTTTGTAGGCGGCCGAGCAGAAGTGCATTCAAAAGTCGGCATCCTGTCGTGACTGGGTTTATGCTGCCCGATGTTCATTATGACAACCCCGCTTACATAATCCTTCTTAATCGAAAACGCATTTCAGAAATTCGGTTAACATTCCATGAGATCGTTCACTGACTGTGTGGAAGTTATCAGAGAAAATTCGTCATGCTTACAATTTCGGATAAGTTAACCTTTTATTCGTCCGCTGGTAGCGGATGGAGGGACAAAATGAGAGTAGGTTGCTTCCTCCCTTTCATGGACGGCAAAGGGGAGGGTCAGAGAGCCGAAAGAATCCCCACAACTATCCACTGTGAGATGGCGATCAGGCTAGGGGTAGGGGGGGGGGGGTTATCAGTACAACATGTTTAGTAGGGCTAGAGAAATGCAGGAATGATTCTTCCTTCCCTGCTCTCCTGACACTCAGATTAGAGCTGAAAGTGTCGGTGAAGTCTACAAGCTCTGTTCCAGATCTTTGCTTTCATTATAACTAAACATATGAATAAAAGGCTGGTGTGCACATGCAAAAACGCATATGATTCTTTCATTCCCTCTTAAATGATAAAGGTCGCTTCGATCATCATGAAGGAAACCAGTGCCATCTCAGCTTTGAAAAGGCTGTCGAAAGCCCTTCTCCGTTAGTGGTAGCGAGAGTCTGGGACGGTCTATGGAGGTGGTTTGCAAGCAAATGTTCTGTTAAACACGCTTTCTATGGACCTGGCGAAAGCCGAAAATCATGTCGATGGCTCCAATACTCTTCCCATACACTGTGGATCTGTGGACGGCAAGGGCAGTAATCCTTGCGGTCATGGAGAGAGAGTAGGCGGCAGCGGTATAGAGAAGGACCCCACTTAACTCTCAGTAGACTGTGGATCGTGTCATATGGAGTCTTATATTGGCATACATTTGTAGGCTATTGCAGAACTTACATTGCCAACAACGATTACTTCCCATGACCTCACACCTTAACTCACAATTTTCTTTTTGTTTATTGTTTTACTACTACTCTCATTTCCGTTATCGTACAATAGCGTAGGATAAGACTTTCGGCATGAATCCAGGCAATTTCTATGTTTTCTTTCATCTTGTCAGGTTACAGTCAAGCGTGCTGCCCCACCCATAAAACTCCCATTAACATATGTAGATCACGTATGGCACGATCCACAGTTTACTGACAATTAAGTGGGGTTCTTCTCTATACCGTTGCCGAACAGGCTTTTATTATAGAGTGGATGAGAATCCTAGCAAAGAGATCTCCCAGTACCATAATCAATAAAAACGAAAAATGCAGACATTCTATCGCTGAACTGAACGATTATCATAAGAATCTCATTTTGTCAGGAATTTCGAAAGTGCAGTAGGCAGATCTTATTTTTAATTAACGCGAATAACCCAGGGAGAAAATTCGCTTCCAGTTGACCAAGCCTCAATTTCCTGAGCTGAAGCAGAACAATTTCGATTGGCGAATGAAGAGGGGAGAAACGGCGATTCAGTTCATAAGACCCTCTGGAATATGCCACAGTAGGTATACCCTCAACTTCGCAGACCAGTGCGCGTCTGGCCACAGGGGATCGGACCAACAGACAGCGGACGTGCGGCTAAGCGCGCCACCTCCTTGCGGCGACTGTCAGCGTCGGCGAAGACTGCTTCACACACTGGCCTAACATATGCTCGCCTTCTGACTGATTAGCTATTGTCTATTCCACGGCTACGGTCATAAGATGACATAGAGTCGTAACTCGGAGTGCGAAAAGCCAATTACTTAAACTTCCACACATTATGATATCTACGTGAGCGAAGAAGAGCCCTCGTTGGTTGCCCTCTTCTCCGCTAAACGGACCCAAATTGTGGCAGAAGGGTAGCATGAGTAGTTTTTTGAAAATCTCAGCCGCATAGGATGACAGAACCATTTATCGGCGCCGGCTGGACATGCAGTCGGAAACCACACTATGCGGAGATAGCCTGTTTAGCATTGTCAGCCTCTGTGTCCATGATAATTACCAGACGACTTGATTAACCCCTACGCGAAAACAGGGAGAATGTGACAATTGCGAAAGCGGATAGCTGCAAAGAAAGACTGAATCGAAAAAAGACTTAACATGCGTTTCATCAAAAAATCCGAAGTGATATGGGTCAGGGACACGGGGTGCGCTCGTACGGTTACACCAAGAGGATCAGAGAAATTGGATCTCAGTACCATAAAGACACTCTGGCAGACGCCACAAAGCTTTTTGGCAGACGCATTGGATATTCCTAGATCATACATCTGGTAGTGCACTCAGATATAATCTCTGGTGACTCCATGAGGCCGTGCTTAGCACAGCAGCAACATCTAGGTAACCAGTTTAGGGTATCAGGTGTGTGTCTCCACACCTGATAATCTTTTCCTTAGTTCAAATCCCCTATCCCTCTAGAAGCAAAAGTCAAACGGTGAAAATGCCACGCAGTTCCACTGGCGGCCCAGGTCGATTCGGATTGACCTCCAACGACACGGAGGGTCTGACCCATATCGGGCTTCGGCAGACGTCTGGGGTGACTCAACAGCCATGCCTGGATATACCCCTATTGTTACCGTCGAACTACTACTACTACTACTACTACTACTACTACTACTACTACTACTACTACTACTACTACTACTACTACCACTACTACTACTACTACTACTACTACTACTACTACTACTACTACTACTACTACTACTACTACTACTACCACTACTACTACTACTACTACTACTACTACTACTACTACTACTACTACTACTACCACTACTACTACTACTACTACTACTACTACTACTACTACTATTACTACTACTACAAAGCACATACGGTGAAACGGAGAATCGTCTCGCCCAAGTCCTTCAGCTCTCAAGTTCTGTCTCGGGACGTACTTCACGTCTGGCGGAAAAATTTACGAGCCGGTGAAAGCCACGCCAATGGGTTCACCGAGTTCGGGACTCGTAGCTCAGGCGGTCCTACAGCGGTTAGTGTCGCTAGTCTTTTGACACCACAGCACGAAATTCTGAGCTTTGGTATGTGGATGGTAAATTCGTCATCATCGAACGAGGTGAGGTTTTAATGTTCCAAGAACATCTCAGCAATGTCTTCCGTGGCATAAAATTTACGATGGAGGGGAAGAAAACGACCAGCCGGCCTTCCTTGATGTTCTCGTCTGCCGCAAAGAGTGTGGTAGCCTAAACACCAAAGTATTCAGGAAAGCGATAAATACGACGAAAGTACTGAATTTCAACAGCAACCACCCAATCAGCCACAAACGCAGTTGCGTAAGAACGCCACATCGACGTGTTGAGACGCGCTGCAGTAAACCGGAAGGCAATATTGCCGAATTTCAGCATCCTCGACGGCTGCTCAAAAAATATTACTAACCGCGCAACTTCGTCAACCGGTGCATGCGCAAACGAGACTAACGGCAAAATCACACCGACCTCATAATTAGTGAGCGATTCCGTACATCAAGAACGTCTCGGAGGCCGTCAGCCGCTTCCTCTTACTAGTTGAATTTGGAGTTGAACATAGACTGTGGGCAATCATTTGACGTCAGATGATCAGACCAAAAGACCCACTGTCACGGCAAGAAGCATAAGATCTGGTGCAGGTGCGGGCAGGGCAACTACGTCGGAGAAACTGGAAGAATGTTTTGGACGCGAATCGTCAAACACGCGGCAACAGTGTGGGGAAATGACGTTAACTCTCAAGTCGCGGCTGATTCGACGACACCCGGCCACACATGCAAGCTGAATGAGCTCGAGATTCTCGTGAGAGGTGATAATTGTGTGAGCCGCGATTTGCTTGAGTCATGGTTCACATGGCCCCAGTCTATTAACAAGTTCAGTGACCTCCACACTCCATTTTCGATGGTGAGACTTAGTCTGACCAAAGTAGTTAGCCACTCGGGGAGCGCGCAACCCGGTGAACCACTCGGCCGACCAATCGTCACGCCAACATCCAATATGCTTCAATGCAATTAACGGTTTGCATGACGGCAGTCAAGCGATTAGCGCACCAGAGGGCAGACATCCTCGATGAAAGCGGCGCCGTTAATTGTCGTAGTTATGCAGTAGCATAACGAGTGAATACTATAAATACGCGACTTCCTCTGTGTGTGATTTACCCGTATCCGATACTGTTTATGATGACTGATTCAAGTGTGGATCCGAAACGTCAGGCGAGTAAGGCTCTTGTTCCATCAATCGCTTCTACTTCTTCGCAAATACGAGAGCACCCTGAATTCTTCACCCAAATACCGGAAAATTAAAGGACACACCTAAAAAGTATTTCAACAAGATCGCCAGACCGGGCATGTTGCTATAAAAACTGGGGTGTAAATCTTCGGGATCAGCTAAATGGGTCAGGACAAGACGAAGCGGCATACACGCAAGAGGGCCGTACTGAGAACTGGCGACACAAATGTCTAGCTCCTGCCAATGCGTTTCTACGATCAGTCGACATTTCTGGCCGGAATGGTCCCGTTGGGTACCTTCAGGTCCACCACAATGCCCGCACAAGCAACTCACCCTCCACATCACATGTTGTGACGACCACGACCACCCCTCCCACCTGCCCTCGCTGCAACACCTTGAGGAGCAATGGTTAGGCTGGGTGCTTGCGATGGTCGACCTATTGTTTAATTGCGCCAATGCAGCCCCTGTCACGTGGCTGGCTGCAGATTCCGGCCGTTTTTTTCTCGCCAGTCACCCGCCCGCTCTGGCCGACGGGTGCGTGTGTGCGGCACATGCCACCATTGCGCCGCTTGGCCTCAGAGTGACAGTTACGTAGGTCTCGCGCTCTGGTGGCGCCGGCGACGGACGCGGACGCAGAGGGCGTGACCCTCTAATCGCTGCCGTCAGGGGCCGTAATGAGATTCACGCCATTTATGGTCCGATATGAGACATTTCAAGTGTATGAAGGTCATGACTAGCTTTGATGGCAAACGCCAACTAGAAGCATTCAAGATGGCGAATGTATCACCTTGCCTCCACTTCAAATTGACAACGGGCCAAACTAACTATCTTTTTATTTATTCGTGCTATCGGTGTGCCACTCACCTTAGGGCTGTGCCGAATTTGCCGGTTGTGCGTCAATGTACGCAGTATTACTTCACACTGATTGGTATTTGCGTCACGATGAGGTAAGTTATTGCGATGAATGCCGGCTCATAGGGCTCCTCTATGACTAAGGACAACTGTCAAAGTCGCTGTAATTTCACCCACCATAAACTTTCTGCCTTTCGATCGTCTGACCGCTCAACAAAGACGGCCAAATGCGGAGGCATCATGGTGACATCTACTTAGCGTGCATCGGTCAGCTATCTATGCTTCCTTCTTCTCATCTCTCTGGCGTCGACAAGGTTTCATTTGATCTTCCACCCTGGCTAGCTATACCGCCGGCTTAAATCTCAGAGGAACTGCTCGGGGTTTTGACGATGTCAAAACCGACATGGGCATCCGTTTACTGACATTGGCTACGCTGACGACACTGCCGTGTCAGCTCTAAGCTGTACTAACTCACGGAATGTAGTCTGGGGGTGAACAAAGCTGTAAAGTTGGTCTGTTTATCTACTAGTGCTACGAAAACCAACGTGTTCTCTCTCTCTCTCTATGTCTCTGGCTAAGAAAGGACACCATTTGCAATTACTACCCGCCAAACTGAATAACCGGGCAGTTTAAAATCTATCAGGTGGAGTTGCCGCCGAGCCATGGGATTTTTATTTTGACACCAATTTATAGGTATCGCCGAGGAAAAATCGACAAGGACGCACCCAAACACCGAAATGCTGACAAACAAAATAAACCACCGCGCATTACACCTCGATGCCCTCTCAGTGGACAGAGTAAAGACGACATAATCGCCCAGCTTAATGTTGACCACAGTCCTTGCAAGCCTTCATGAATGTTTATGAACCCGTCGCAATATCTAAATTTCCACGGGGCTGTTGGTGCTGCGCCGTGAAGGTGAAAGATAGAGGGAAACGTATATTGCTTGCCAATCAATGTTCAAAAAATCCATCTTTGAGTGAAGTACTCCGACTTCGTTCTGGGTGAGACAGTCCACAATCGCTGAGACAGCATCGCAAGGGTAAGTCAGGTTGTTTAAGGAGGGTGATTGAGATTGTTTGGGCCTTTTGTGGTTGCTACTCCCTGAGTCCCGTGTTGCTGTGCTACATCGACACCGCTCTCTGACTGCAGATAGCGAAGAGAAGGTCAACTGAAAAACCTAGTCGGTCGCTGTTTGTTTGGACTTGAAGGTGGCACCCTGACCTTAGATATTCGGGTTTCATCAGTCGATGAGATGGTACATCTTTCCGTTCAGATCCACCGCCATACATCATTGTGCGTTGAGAGGTTTAACTCGTGCCGGTACTGAGGCCGGACAGAGCGGCCACGATAAATACTGCCTTCAATGAGCCAGATGTGGTTGGCCGAGGATCTGGCTGAAATTCCGAGATCGTGGGAGAGCAGACAGGCTCGTGATGCACGACTAGGCACACCGAGGCAATAAATACTTGCCTAAGAAGCCGAAACAGCGACCACCAAGGTAAAAAGTCAAGAACAACAAGTCAAAAGACATACCGACGACTGGCTAGGCCTAGGTGAGTCTTGTGCACCAGGTTGGCTGCGGTAAGCGATATCGCAGCGTGCTTAAGCGAACTGCAATTTGTCCCATGGTATTATCACGAGTCACAGGATTATTAAAGTAGAAAAAGCTGACTACACTGAAGATTGTGAACTTACTTAGGACAGCATTCCATTGAAGGTCAAAGTCTATAAATTCAATATGTGAACGCAACACTGGCACATGGAATATCTGCAGTAGATGTACTATCTCGTGAAATGTTAATCAAAATTCTGAAATGTGTTTTCGACTCGAAAAGATTGCTTAAGTGGAACTGCGATATTAGTTGTCGTGCAGCATAGCCCAAAGATATTTCAGTAACAACAGGATATCAGCCTTTGAGTGGGCACCTTTTTGGCCGTCTGCGAAAATATTCTGCAAAAATGGCTACTTGAGCAGTATGATTTTTCCACCGATTTTTGACACCCTTATAAATTTAATTATATTTTATAGGAAATGTACAGGAAAATATTCCTTCTCGTACTCATTTGGTGGAAAACTACGTCTAATTCAAAGTTCATGTTTGAAGAAAGGGTATATTTTAGTTTTAAAAAGTTTCTAATTCTGAGACTTTTTTAGACCGTGAAATGTCCATCACATCGGCACGTTTATTAACGCTACTTATAAAGTGTACAACCTGGTCCACAGCCATTGCCCACTTTTATGATTACCGTATGACGAATTTCCAACAGCATAGAGAAACTTGTGATATTTCTCTGACGGAATGTACACAGCATGTAGTTTGGGAAGCCTGAATGCCAGCGTAATGGCAGGTAGGGTTCAGGATTACTCGGGAATAAGAAAAATGTTTAAAAACTGAAAGATGCTCTCTCTGCAGGTGGAAAATCCTAAGAAGACGTAATCTGCTACCAAATGAGTACAAGAGCGAACATTTTTGTGCATGTTTTCCGTAAGATGTAGTTTAATTTATGTAGGCATTGCAAATAAACGGAAAATTTCATACTACTTAAGTAGTCATTTTAGAGACTGGTTTTTGCAGGCGACAGAAAAGAAACTCATTCAAAAGCCGGCATCCTGTTGTTGCTGAAATATCTTGGAAGTATGTTGCATGATAACTGATATTACAACACTGCGTAAGTAATATTTTCTGATCGAAGACACATTTCATGAGATAGAACTTCTACTGTGTGTGGAATACTTTTATTTTCAGTGAATTTCAACGCAGCTTTCAAGATTTTAGTCTTGTAAAAGATACGTTAGAAGTCACGCGCTTTGCATAACTTGTAGTCGGTCAATATATCTGCACTGAGTTCCCAATTATAAAGCAACACGAGCTGTTGCTGAGATACAGGAAAAACGAAATATTTCGACGGAATTTGAGAAAGGATTCTTTGTCTTGTGAACAGTTTTCACGCCGCATATTTCTTGTCACTGCATTACGCATCCGCAAAATTGACATGTTCAATAACGGCTCACTCACAAATGATGCTTTGGCGCCAACTGATGGATATCGTCAAGGCGATATTGACAGGGCGGATGCTGGACGCCGGGTATCCGAGTGGGTGAGTGAACTCTGCCCATCGCAACACGTCAGTCCACTTTGTACAGCAAAAGAGCGAAAAACACTGTAGTACAAATTTGGCAGAAAAACAGGTTGTATTTTTGGGTAGTGGTACCCCGCTCCTCGCAGGAGACAGGTACAACTACTGTCCGGAGGACGCAGAGCTGACTTGTGCATTTATCTGCTTGTGATTTTGGGGCCTTGTGGAGCACCCAACTCACACTGTTACCATGTCAGGCTAAAGTGAAGATGATTGTTGACGGGCGTGGGCATGTTGGCTGATGTGTCTGAATCTAGATATGCGTCTGGCACACACAAGTACTGGTCTCTACGTGCACACGGAAAAGACTCGGAAAAAAGAGTCTTCTCTCACCGATAAAAGAGTTGACATAACTATCAAGTAAAAAAGGATTCATATTGCTAGTCCAGGGAGAACTGAGTCACCCCGTCAGTTGACAGCCTCTAAAACTACGGATTTCAAAAATCCTGACAGTTTAGAGCGTGTCGGTTTATTGAGGTGAGAGAACTGTAAATCTGCGTCAAACCGGCCTTTCTCGCACTTACCTCTCGTAGCCGACTGGGCTTGGGCGCAATGACTGGTGCGAGCCACACGTCTGAATGGACCTCGTGTAAACCCATTGTAATGTTGCTGTACATTACTGGGGCCATAGACTTACCAATCTGGATAAAAAGACATATAGTGGGCGTTCTGTTTTCCGGAAGTGACTCGGAATTCATGCATACCTAAAAACGTTCTATGACGCCTACTGCTCCAGAGGTGTGTCGATAAAAAGTTGTGAAAATTAGAGCAACACATTGACCGAAAGCGTATGTCATAAAAAAGCAATGAGTACCCTGTTGTATTTGAATCCTCCAAAGAGCGAGGTGGATGAACGTCTTCCTCATTCTCCTGGAAAGTTCACATGCATTTTTCCGTACCACCGCCTTGCGGTTCTACTCCGTCTTTGTTGTCCATCTCGGATCTCGTGTTTGTCCCTTATATAGCAAAATAATACAGACCACGAACAGGAGTGCGATAGCAACCACAAGATGAAGAATTGTTTTGAAGCCATCAGCCTGGTACTTCATTACCGCGTCCTTATGTTCCAACATGCAGACTGCTCCTTATCCCGAGAATAAAGTAGAAATGTACATGACAGTACCAAAACTAGGGTGCATCGAATTAAGCGCTAACATCAAGGGCATCGTCGTATCGACGTCAACATGTTTGCCAACCTAGGAAGTACGACCTCACACAGAAACACTAGCGACCAAAAAGTGGACCTGAGGATCCTGTGAGCTAGTCAGTTTTTGTCGGTCTTCAGTATAGAAGCGCCGGAGTTGTAGCTTCCCGGAAAAAAAACTAAGACTGCAAGGGTCTGTTGTGCCGACAGCGTTGTTGCACTTTTATGGAATTTAGACTATATCTTGACGGTAAAGGAAGAAGTTAAAACATGTTCATTCTACCTAACTTTGGGAATCCTAAAGGCCAAACTGAAAGGGCGGATCTCAGCGATTGTATGTTGAAGCAACCGGTCTTTAAAAGACACAGTTCTGATACTGACGTACATTCACTTTTGTTAAAATGGTCACACCGTGAGGATGTCAAATCGGGTTCTCCATAAGCAACTGCCCTATGGGCACGTTGTTCCAGGTGTTTAAAGCTAATTTGGAAAGAACGAAGTAACAAATGTACCTTGCAGAAGTCATTCAGATGCCTTTGAATCGTTTAAGCCACTTAGAATAATAGCACACGCGGTTTGCAGGTATGATAATTGACGTAAAACGACGCAGTTACATTCGAAGTCTAAAGAATACCGAACATAAGGGAAAAACGTCAGGAGAAGAAGAGAACACCCGAGGCCAGAACGACGAAGGGAAAACTTCCTTCCATGTGTGCCATCTGCTCCTGTTTCACACATCAAAGTATACCGCATCCACAGTAAAAAGCACCACATTTTTCTAACTCCAACTGCCGTCGTAGGCTACGTAAAATCCACTTCCGAGATAATAATGCGTCCACCCAACACATCAGCCATACTCAACCCAGACAGACATATGGCGCTGCCGAATTTATATGCTCTCAGAGTGAGAGGCCTTCAGGTAGAACTACAGACAATCTAAGTTTTTGGTCCCACATCTGTGCCTTTCTCAGTGGCCAACCTGTCATCCAACTCCTAATTTTGCTATGGCGTATGTGATGACAAAACCAGCCTACCAAGACTACTCTAGGGATTAAACAGATGCGTACTCGAGACTATGAATTTTGATTAAGCGAATATATGCGTGAGGTCAGTAACGTGGACTTAAAGGGATGGCGCAAGGTATTGTGGTGTGCATGTAAGAGGAGGATGGTCGCATGTTTTCTTTGTGTCTTAATCTGTAGTCATTCCGACTGATTCTGCGCAGTTTTCCCTAGCTCTAATTACATTTCTATGTGTACAATTATTTCCATTAAGAATAACAGTCAACGAACAACGTGGACGAAGAAACTGGGTTCTCCAACACGACTAAACAACCATAATTTGGAAACTTGTCATGATAATCATGATAATCACTTGCCTTTTATATTTTCTGTATTAATGCTCACTACGAACTCCACGGGCACTGGTGAGTATCATGGTTTTGTCTCTTTGTTCCTTTCGGAATTTTGGCAACGTACGATAGAACTTTATCAAGTATTTGACCAGGTCTGCAATAGTCACCTTCTA